CCTCCGTCTGGAGGCACGGGGCTGCCCGAAGCCGGTAGCTCTTGGGCAGCCCGGCTCTTAAACAGAGCCGAAGAGTCGGGGAGGAGCAGAGCCGCCATTTTCCTGGACATGTTCGGCTTTTTGGCAATTCCCCCCGGACGGGGGTTTGACTGCCGAAAAGCCGGACATGTCCGGGAAAAAGAGGACGTATGGTAACCCTACTCAAGCCATTTCACACACCCCCCCAGGAAGAGATGAGAAAGAAATCAGCTGTTGCCACCAGCTAATTAAAAATGTGCACAAACCTCTTAGGACACCAAAAATCCAATCCTGTTCTTAAAAAAGGGTAAATTTTATTAAAAACGAAAAGAAAGAAAATACATCGGGGACTTAGGCTTTTGCTAGATTAAAAAGAGCAATTCCAAAAGTCAAGCACCCAAAATAGCTTGCTTGGGGGTTCAGCTTAAAGGTTACAAGCAAACAGAAGCATCTGGGGTTAGCGCAGAGGAGTCCACAAGCCAATAAGAAAGAAAAGAAATAACCCTAAATCGCATCATTTTAGACATTCCCTAAATTTAGTGCGTATCTGAGGCTCCAGATAAGTAGGTTCGAGGTATGAATTGATCATCTATAATCAAGCCCGGCTTAAAGCTGCTTACAGCATCACTGCCCCGTGTCCCTGCAGCCCAGAGAACAACAGACAGAGGGCGATTTTAAAAAGTTCTACCTTCCCATTGGCTCTTCTGGTCAGGTGCCCACTCCTTGTCTTTTACCTGTGCGCTTGTTAACCCTTTACAGGTAAAGCAAGCAGAGAACTGACCAAGAGGGATTTCACAGCTAACTGGCTGGCTGGGTGTTCATCAAAGGGAGCTACTCCCCTCCCCCCCTTCATGTATCACAGCACTAATGTATCAGAGGACCATCTGAGAAGACACCGGAGGAAGCAGGACACCAATTTTCCATCCCCAGGTTTATTTTTCTCAGTCAAGCTTTCCAGGGGGGAGGAACCGGGGGCAGCGCCAGCGCTTACGAGCTGCCAAATTTGCCAGGGAATCTTGTGCTCATCCCACCTGGAAGAGAAGAGGGAGATGGACGCATTAGCTGACGAGCTTCCAACCCTGCATCCCTAAAGCAACCGATCAGGGCAGCGCTAAGGCGGGGAAGAATCAAGCATGCTCAAGGACAGCACCCGTAAGAGACAGACCCACCATCCCAGATCATAGGCCAGGCCAGTGACCATGCAAGGTCAGAGGGATGGGCCATATGTGGTCTATATGCATTGCCCACAGCTTACTGGTTACATCAGCAGCCACTAGAAGGTGACAGTCTGTTCTGCTACAGGCTCTACTTTGCTTATGTAACCCACACACCTTCTGGCAGTGGTGTTCTGGCCTATCTAGTGGCATGGAGACTACTTAGAAAAAGAGATAGAATGAGTTTGCTCTACAGCCTTAGCTAATGGCCAGCTGTCTTTTAGCTCATGCAGTAGAGGCTCATGCTCTAAGCTCCGGAGGTCCCCAGTTCAATTCCGACCACCGAGACTGAAACGCACTCTAGGAAATCTTTTCTTTTTATGATTTTTTTTCAGACTTTCCCATGGAACATTTTGAGGCTTTTCAATTTAAAAAGACAAAACAAAACAAAAAACAACCGAAACCACAGAAATGTTTGCTTTTTCTAAAGCCACATTTTGGTACAAAAGTTCAGTTTTCGAAACCAACTGAACAAAATGTATGGAAAACTGAAACAAACAAAAAAATGAATTTTTTTTTACAAAACTCCAAAAACTTGACCCGAAATTTTCAGTTTCTATAAACCAGAAAATTTCAGCAAGAATGGAAATTTTCCATGGAAAAGTTCACATTGGTCAAAAGGCCGTGTTTTGCCAGAAAAAAAATGGGTACATGAAATTTCAGCTACCGGCAAGCTTCCCAGCTCTGTGAATATGGACGACACCTCAGACCCATTCTAGTTAATCAGAGAACAAGGAGCACCCACCAGCCAGGCCAGGCCCTGCCATCTCAGCCAGTGGGATGGCATGGGTGAAACTGACCTTTATTGTCATTAACCTGTTTGCCCCGGGAATGAGAGTTTAAGCGAACACGAGGCCAGAAAAGGTCAGAATCTAGCCAACGGTCCCGGCACCGGACAATGGTGCTGGAACACTTTTAATAATCGGGGTGCTGAATGCCAACCCCCTTGCCCCCAGGCGTGTGGCCAGCAGCCAGGACCCTGGGCGTGGGGCCAGCATAGAGCCCCCAGCACAGGGACGGCAACCAGGACCCCGGGTGCGGGGCGGCAGCTGGGACCCCAGGCATGGGCTCCGTAGGTGCTCCGGGACTGGAGCACCCACGGGGAAAAATTAGCAGGTTCTCCGCACCTACTGGCAGCCAAGCTCCCGCCCCTCGCCTCCTTCTCCCCCCCCCGCCCCCGAGCACGTCGTGTCCCTGCTCCTACCCCTACCCCGCCCTCCCAGTGCTTCCCGCCCCCTCGCCACCTAACAGCTGTTTGGCAGCACTTAGGACTTTCCAGGAGGGAGAGGGAGGAGCGGGGATGCAGCGCGCTCAGGGGAGGAGGTGGAGAAGAGGCGGGGTGGGGGGGATTTGGGGGAAGGGGGTGGAATGAGGGCGGGGCAGGGGCAGGGCCAGGGCCAGGGGTGGGGTGGGGTCAAGCACCCACCAGGCAGAGGGGAAGTCGGCGCCTATGGCCGGGACCCTGGATGGCAGCCAGGATCCTGGACACGGAGCAGCAGCCGGGACCACAGGCACAGGGCCGGCAGCTGTGACCCCGTGCAAAACCTGGGGGTGCTGCAGCACCCCCCCGCTCCCCTAGTTCCCACGCCCATGGCACCGGATGTGATTGTCGACAGTGGGGTATGTTCTGCAGCTCACAGGATCAAGACCTTAGTGAATCACAAGGGGCAAATTGCTGCTCTCTGACCCACGTGACAGAAGCCATCTCTCAAATTCTGCTCTCCCTGCATGCGCCAAACTCCCACTGGCTAGTAAAGTCCAGCACCGCTATGCTGGCGGGATTTTGCCCCGGCTCTATGGGCTGCCCAACTCCGCCCCGGTGCCCCCAGTGAAATATATTTACTGGTATAGCCGGTTGTCTTGGTCAGAATGCTCAGGTTTTGCATACTGGAATCCAACCTGCGAAGCAGAAGAGTGACAAAGCTTAGTGCCGGTGGGGTGCAGAGAAGGACACAGTTAGTGCTGTGCGTGCAAGCCACTGTCAACACAGACTCAGAACAGTTCATCTGTGTGTCACGAGCCCCATACTGCTAGCAGCTAACAGAGATTCTCCTTTGGCTCAGTCAATAAGGGCCTGTATTGTGAAGCAGAAGGATCGGGGCTCTCCCCAAGAAGTTTTGAGCAGAGAATTAGCACGCTGCATAGCAATCACAGTGAAGCCATAGGTAGAAATATTTCTTACGGGATCGTTATCCTTATGTTGGTAACGAGAGGTTAATTGACCTGCCCTAAGCCCACAGGGAGCCAGCAGCAAACCTGGGACTAGATCCCAGCAGTTTTACTCCATTTCATCCACTGCATGAGGCTGGCTTGTAAAGGATACAGATTCCTGGGACCCGAGTTAGAGCCCAGCCATTTGGCACCTCAGTGACTCCATGACTCACTCCCCTGGAAGGCGTTTCACCCTTGACTCACCACAGCCTCAGACAGAGGCTGCCTGCCTGACATACCAGCGTAAGGCGAGGCGTGAGGCAGTGCTCAGCTGGGAAGCGGCTGGCACGCTTCTGCATGAACACTGATCTCCATAGAGAGTGACCAGATGTCCCGATTTTATAGGGACAGTCCTGATTTTTGGTCTTTTTCTTATATAGGTTCCTATTACCCCCCACTCCCTGTCCTGATTTTTCACGCTTGCTGTCTGGTCACCCTGCGTGTGACTAATTACACACACACAGGGCCAGCTCCAGGCACCAGCGCAGCAAACAGATGCTTGGGGCGGCCAACGGAAAGGGGCGGCTCATCCGGCTCTTCGGCAACGGGTCCCTCAGTCCCTCTCAGAGGGAAGGACCGGCCGCCAAATTGCCGCCGAAGAATGGCTTGGGGCGGCAAAAACGCTGGAGCCGGCCCTGCACACACATCACAACGCTGTTGTGCACCCGCAGTTAAAGGACCAGCAGCTCGGGTTAAGAGATAATTACGGGTCAAGTACAGTTTATTGGGGGGAGTCCCCCTGAAACAGAAGCAGAAATCTACAGGCCGACCAAGTGGCTCCTCCAAAGATACTCCACACACACACACACACACACACACACACACACACAACGTCCACTTTGTCCCGCACAGCAAAATTAATTTCCAATCTGCTTGTTTCTGCAACTTCAGCTAAATTTGAGGGCAGAGTTAAGGAGAAAGCTGTGAAAGCAGAGGCCTGTGGTGCCCCGTGATAGTCTTGGAAATAGAGGCTGTCATGATGCAGCCTAGAGGAGCTTAATCTGAACAGCCCAGTCACAAACCCGTCTCCTCCGATGACGTGGCAACCTTGGTCAAAACGAACCTAGCACTGGACTGGCCTGTTCGGGCCAGTGCATCAGCACTGGGCTCATTTGGTCTCTCTCATAGGCCCTCCCACCAGGAGAAGGCATCCAATCACATCGTGTGCCGCCCGCCCCCCTTCCAAACCCACCTGAGCTTCTTTCCCAGAGAGAGGTTAGCAATCAAAGGGTTAATCCACCTAGCTCAGAGACAGACAGGTGCACCACATAGGAGCCAACTTTCTGGCACTGGGGGCTGGCCTATGGTACTCAGCTCTCTCATTGGTTCTCCCATTGTTGGGTGTGGGGGAGAGTCATCCAATCATGACACACGCCATCCCTTCCCAAAGCCCACCTGCTCTCTTCTCCTTCCAGCAGCTTCCTGTAGGTGGCGATCTCGATATCCAGCGCCAGTTTGAGGTTCATCAGCGCCTGATACTCCCGCAGCTGGACCACCATGTCCTCCTTGGCCTTCTGCAGGGCATGTTCCATCTTCTGCAGCTTCCCTGTAGCATCCGCCACGGCGAGCTTGCCTTGCTCCTCAGCCTGGACAATGTTCGCCTCCAGCTTGGCGTTCTGCAAAAGAGACATTTGACAGGTTTCCATTGAGACGTAGGTGTCTCTTTGGAGCTATCTATGGAGGAAAGGGTGCAGCTTACAGCAAACATCAGCTGGGGCATTCTAAGGCCAACTCACCCATCGTGTGGGCATCTCCAAAGAGAGCTAGTTACTGCGTAAGTGGAAATTTCCCATCAAGAAAATAAGTAAGCACAGGAAGAGAGGTAGGGCCCTTATAATTGACAACACACATTTTGGAAGGGGTATTAAGGCTTACGTATCGGGGCTTAATCCAGTCTCTAGTATTAGAGATCAGGAGGAGATGAGAGACGGGTGACATTTTTCATCCAACGCTTATTTTTCACTGCAAAATGCAAATTCACATCAGCTGAAATATTTCGTGACTTGGGGATCCATTCACTGAATCGCTTCAGACGAAAACCAATAAAACAACAACAGAAAAAGTCAAAATGTTTTGTTTTGATATTTAAAATGCGGGAACCAGATATTTAAATCAGATCTCCTGAGTCCCAGTCCAGCACCGTAACCAAGTTTGTAAGGGGCTGAGATACATCGCAAAGTTGCTACTTAGAGAAAGAGACCGCAGAGAGAGGCTGGCTAAAGTGTGGAACTGCAGGTCAGAGAGAGACAGAGAGACAAATATTCTAAAGCCAGAGAGGACCATTTTGATCAGCTAGTCTGCCCTCCTGTGTAACATGGCCCATAGAACTCCCCCAACATACTTCCTGTTTGAACTAGAGCAGATGTTTTAGAAAAACCATCTGATCTTGATTTTAAAGTGTCCAGTGATGGAGAATCCACCACAAATCGTTCCAATAGTTAATTACCCTCACTGTTCAAAATCTGCCCCTTATTTCCAGTCTGAATTTGTCTAGCTTCAACTTCCAGTCTTTCGATCTTGTTAGCTTTTGCCTGCTAGATTGAGGAGCCCATTATCAAATATTAGTTCCCCCATGTGATGATGAGGGCGATCACTCGTTACCGAGTATGATCATCTTCCACGGGAGTTATGGGTCCTCAGGTGGCTAATAAGGCCAATCCTTGAGCCACAAGTTCTATTACAATGAGGGCAGATGTTTTCAGGCTCAGCAGAAGGCTGTTGACCATGACTGGAAGCCAGTCTCTCCTTCCTCCTGCGCCTCTTGTCCTCTTCAGCTTGTCGGCGAGCAAGTTCAAACTGCAGGGGACCATCACGTAGGACTTCATTCCATTTTAAGTGATCCTGGGCAAGTGTCTTCCAAGTGTCAATGTCAATATTACACTTTTTTAGGTTGTCCTTCAGCAAGTCCTTATAATGCTTCCGTTTCCACCCACATTACAGTGCCCTTCTTTCAGCTGAGAGAACAGGACCTGTTTTGGGAGGCGATGATCTGGCATCCGGACAATGTGACCAGTCCAGTGGAATTGCTGACGGATGATCATTGCTTCGATACTGGTGGTGTCGCAGGGCAGAGGTATAAAACCTTTGGGTGCCCTGCTAAAGAGCCGGCTTCCCCCTGTTTCCCCATAGGGTGGCCGGGTGTATGGGCCAAGACCCTTAGCGGGAAGCCCAGTTGCAGGCCCTAATGAGGGCAAGCTCAGGGTGATCTGTTGAGCCTAGTGGAATCAACTGGGTTGATGACTGGGAAGGCTATAAACCCAGGGGAAAGCTCAGGGAGGGGGAAGCCAGACAGGAAGATAGGAGGGTTCAGGCTTTGTCTCTGCCGGCTGATACAAGCCTTAAAGGTCAGAGGACACCAGTGAGGGGTCAGAGCGGGGACAGGTGTTGGGGGAAATTGGGACTGTACCGCCACTGTAAATAAAAGAACCCGGGTGAAGCACCTGCAAGAGGCGTCTGCGACCCTTTCTTTGGCCAGCCCAAGCACAGGGCTCAGGGACAAGGAGAAGGAAACTTGTGCCGCCCTGTAACAAGTGGTCTTTGCCTCTTCCAGAACACTAATATTGGTGCGCCTGTCTTCCCACTTGATCTTCAGAATCTTACGTAGGCAGCATTGATGGTGCCTCTCAAGGACTTTCAAGTGGGGTCTATAGGTCGTCCAAGTTTTGGACCCATACAACAGTGTTGGGAAATAACAGCTTGATAAACAAGAAGCTTGGTGTCTGTTCGAATGTCATGATCTTCAAAAACCCTGTGCTGTAAATGAGAAAAAGCTACGTTGGCACAGCTCAGGCGATGTTGAATTACTGCATCAATATCTGCCTTGGATGAAAGATGACTTCCAAGGTAGAGAAAATGATCAACATTCTCCAGTGCCACTCCACTGATTTTGATAGATGGGGCATGTAATACCTCATTTGAAGAGGCCTGATAGAGCACTTTAGTCTTCTTGATAGTAAGAGTGAAACCAAGACATGCGTAAGCATCGGCAAATGCATTCAAGATAGTTTGAAGATCTTTCTCAGCGTGGGCAAAGATTGCGTTGTTATCAGCAGACTGACGTTCCACAATAGATGTTGTGGAGATCTTACTCTTAGCTTTCAGCCTGCTAAGCCTGAACAGTTTCCCGTCCATTCTGTAAATGATTTCAACGCCAGCTGTAAACTCCCCAGCAATTAGGTAAAGAATGAGGGCAATAAAACCCGCAAACATGGTTGGAGCGATGATACAGCCCTGTTTGAACTTTGAAAGGTTCGCTCCGGGAGCCAGTGCTGCTCAGAACAGTCGCTTTCATGGTATCGTGAAGCAATTTTAGGACATTGATGGATTTATCAGGACATCCGCTCTTAGAAAGTACAGTCCAGAGGGCACGGCAATTCACTGAATCAAAGGCTTTAGTTAGATCAATAGAAGCCATGTACAGTGGTCGGTTTTGCTCTCAATATTTTCTTGCAGCTGCCGTGCTGTGAGGATCTTATCCGCAGTTCCACAACATGGTCGGAAACCACTGTGACTCCGGTAAGATTTCTTCTGACAGGGGCAGAAGGCGGGTTGCAAGGATCCGCGCCAGAACTTTGCCTGCAATGGCTAGGACGGAGATACCACGATAATTTCCACAATCCACTTTATCCCCTTTCCCCAGGTAGGTACTTATAGACTGTAATCAAGTCACTCCTGAAGAGATAGATAGGACGGTGACTGCATTCCCAACCAATGCATGCTCTGGTCACGTTCAGAACACAATTAATATCCTGCCCACACTACAGAATAGAATCACATTGTGACTGGGTCCCCGAGCCCGACTGTCGTTAGAGAGAAACTCGGACACTGGTCCTGTCTCAGCACGGGGCTGGACGAGATGACCTTTCCAGGCCTACATTTCTATGATTCTATGCACCCAGTGCGCTGAGCTCTCGGAAAATCTGGCCCTGTGGGCACCCAATGACTTCAGCAGAGCTCCCCCCCGAAGGCTGGATTTGGCCCCCTCCCTCCACATGCGAATCCCAGCTGTTTCCTCGCTGACCTGTTCTTTCAGGGCCGCAATCTCCGCCCGGATCCGTTGGATCATCCAGTTCAGCTCGTTGATCTCGGCCTTGGCTGCACGGAGCTCTTCCCCGTGCTGGCCCGCTTTCTCCTGGATCTGCTCGTACTGCGTAGTGGGGAAGATAGAAGGAGACGCTGAGTCCAGACCAGGATATAGAGAAGCAAGGCTCTGGGAGCCAGTGAGAGCCACGGCCTTAGTAAAGAACCTCATGTTAGCTATGTCGTGTCCCTTCACTACCAGCAAGGCTGCAGAGTTGGGCCCAGTACACGTTAGGGTTCCCCTCAGAATTGTCATCTATGCAGCCACTGTCCTGGGTGGGGAGGAAACAGCCTTATCTTCCAGCGCTGCTCCTTGGTCATCCAAGGAAGATGGGGGAACAGTTTCTCCCAACCCCCTAAATCAGGGGGCCCAATGGAGCGAGGCCAAGTTTCCCCCTCTTTGTGGCAGGCCCCTAACTCCACTGCGCTCTCAGAGGGTTCAGTCAGATGGCTGAGGGGAACCCCACACACACAAGACCTTCAGCTGGGGTGGCAGGAAAGGCCTGTCACAGAGGCTCTTCGGTGATGGCCTTGCACACAAAACCCAGTATAGACCCTGCCTGCTTGACGACAGTAGGTCAGGGAGGAGGAAGGCCGCAGCCCATCTGACTAGGAGTGGCAGAAAGAAGTGGTTCTTAGGTGGTGGATCCCTACTGTCAGCACCACCCCAAGCAAGGGATGAAGCCACAGGGCAAAGGAACCAAGAAGCTGTCTTCTGAGGGGGTGTCTAGGGCCCTGGCTTGCCCAGTTCCATATTGGCACTTCTCTCTCACATGGACAAGGCCTCACACACTACTCTGTCCTTCTAAACAGCAGCCTCTCAGGGCAGAGACGGGCCTCGCTCACCGTGATCCGATACTTGTTCTCAGCTTCCTCTCGGCTGTTCTCAGCCATCTTCTCATACTGCACTCTGGCCTCCGCAATGATGCTGTCCACGTCTAGCTTGGGACTGCTGTCCACGGATATGACCACGGGGTTGTTGGACATCTCTACGTCGGCCTGCAGTTCGCGCAGCTCCTACGCGAGGAAGAAAACCCTCATTCGTTACAGCGAAGGACAGAGAACTGAACTGCATCCCATAAGCCCTGCAGCCAGCTCCCAGGGAAACTCCCTCCCCAGGCTGATATAAATCAATGCTGCAGCCTCTTCTGGACCCTGCGTGCACCACTGGTCAACCCACCTCCAAAAAGGATATTGCAGAATTAGAGGGGTTCAGGGAAGGGTGAGAAGTATGATTAAGGGGCTGGAGAAACTCTTATGAAGAGAGATTGACAAAATTGGGATGGTTTATCTTCCAAGACGAGACGAATAAGAGGGGACACAATAAAAGTATATACAATAACGAATGTCTAGAGAAGGGAGATCGGGGTCTCCTTACACAAGAACGAGGGTACGTTCCATAAAATTAAAGGGTGGCAAATTCAAAATAGAGACTAGAAAATACTTTTTCCACACAGCACATTGTTCACCTGTGGAACTCACTGCCACAGGAAGTCAGTGAGGCCAAGAACGTCGCAAGATTCAAAAAGGGATGGGACATTTATAGGGATGAGAAGAATACCTAAAGTTATAACAGTTAACGCTGACAAATTTAGGGAGGGATTTAACACCTCATGGTTCAGATGTGAGGCCAATCTCTGTCTGTCAGAGGTCAGGATGAGCCCTAACATGGAGGTAGATTATTCCACATCTGCTAATTCTGTTTTTCTTACACCAAAGCAGCTGGTGCCGGCTACTGTTAGAAACAGGATAGTGGATTAGATGGAACTCAAGTCTATTGGAGTATGGAAGTCCCTATATGCCTAGTGTCTTAGGGTATGTCTACACTGCAAAAAAAGACCCATGGCAGCAAGTGTCAGAGCCTGGGGCTATAGACTCAGGCTCACGCTACAGTGCTATAAAATAGCCATGTAGACGTTCCCACTCCGGCTAGAGCTCAGGGTCTGAGACACAAACCCCTCGCCGGCTTTCAGAACCTGCACTCCAGCCTCGATGGAAATGTCTATACGGCTATTTTTAGCGCCATAGAGTGAACTCTGTGAGCCCAAGTCTGTAGATCCGGACTCGCACGCTTGCTGTGGCAGGTTTTTTTTGCAGTCTAGATGACCCCTTAAGGGGCTGAGCGGAGGAGCTCCTGAGTTCTGATCCCATCTCCGCCACTTTCATGCCAAGTGGCCTTGGGTGAGTCATTCTGTCTCAGTTCTCCTGTCTGTAGAATGAGAGTCATGACACTTACGACAGAGGAGTTTTGTAAGAATTAATTGGTGACTATATATTCCAGTTGTGGGCCCTGAACAAACCCCAAATAGCTCCTGACCATTGTGGGGCTTCAAATCTGGCCTGGAATTTTGCAGCTAGTTTGAAAGAGTAAAGTGAACCGTGCAGGCAGGTCTGCCCCTTTAAAAAAAGACAACACCTCTGGCTCTCTAGAATGGGAGGATCTTTCATTACAGGAACTCAGTGTTACTTAATGGAATTCACCAGGAAATGTAGAACTGTAGTAGTAATCTAAGACGACGTCTACACTTACAGACACTGCACACACCCCTAGCATGGGTATAAATAGTAGTATAGATGGTGAGGCACTGCTTAGGCAGGTAAAGGCACCCCAGAACTTTTGGGCATGTACCCTGCACAGCTCTCTACGCTTCCATGCAGTGCGTCCCCCATCTACACTGTTAGCATGTCCCACTGCCTCCCCCTGCTAGAGCCCTTCACTGCCGCATGTAGCCACACACCCCAGTGTGGACGCAGCCTGTACCTTGTGTGCTGCCGCAAAGTGTAGACAAGGGAGAGGAAAGTCACTTGCCTTGGCATAAAGCTCCATCAGGAAGTTGATTTCGTCGGTCAGACTTTGCAACTTGACCTCCAGTTCCTGCTTCTTGATGTAAGCCTCGTCCACATCCTAAGAAAAGAGTCCAGGAACCCGTGAGTCAGACTCCAACCCGGTTTACTAAGGTTGGAAGTTCTTTGGAGATAGGAGGCCATCTTTTTGTTCCGTATTTGTACAGCGCCTAGCACAATAGAGTCCTCGTCCATGACGGGGCCTCCCAGACACTCCCACAATACCAATAATAAATAAATAATAATGCCCGATGCCTAGCGCTAAACCCAGTTGGAAGTAGCATGGACTCACCTTCTTAGTCAGAACAAATTGGTTCTCCCTCTCACTCCGGTTGTTGATTTCGTCTTCGTACCTGTGAGCAGGAGGGAGGGAAGCAGGGTGCGTATGAGTGGCTGGGAGTTAATTCTCTTATGGAAGCTACAGAGATGTGGGGACCATCAGAGGATGTTCTGCAGAGCACCCAAAACCTCAGCTGAAGTCAGTGGGCGCTGTGGGTGTTCCCCGCCTGTGACTATCAGGCCCTTGCTGTTGCAGCTGACCTAAAAGTCAACTTTGTGACTTTGCAAAAGAGAGAGGTGGTATTGCCTAGTGAGTAGGGCACTGCACTGCACTGGGACTCAAGAGAGCTTGGTTCTATTCTTGTCTTCGCCACTGCCCTGCTGTGTGATCTTGGACAAGTCGTTTCCCCTCCCACCTTTTCTCTGTTTACACCGTGAGCTTTTCAGGGCAGGGACTGTATGTCACGATGTGTCTGAGCAGCCCCCAGCACAATAGGGCCATGATCACCATGGGGATATAAATATGGACCGGCTTTGATATACTGGACCTGATTTAAACCCACCAAGGGCACGATGGAGTTAGTCTGGATGTGCATTGGTGTAGCATAGGTGCTGACTCCGGGGCTGGAGCACCCACGGGGGGAAAACACGGTGGGTGCTCAGCCCCGCCCAATCAGCTCCTCCTCATCCCCCCAGCACCCCCCACATCCCACCCGTCGGCCGCCCCACTGATCAGCGCCTCTCCCTCCCAAGGCCTCCCCTCCCTCCCAGCATTGCAATCAGCTGTCCTGTGCAGTTCCGAGGTGTACACAAGGCACTGGGGGGGCGGGGAAGGAGCGAGGACGGGGCGTGCTCAGATGAGGGGGAAGAAGGGGGCAGGAAGAGGCGTGGTGGGGCGGGGGAAGGGTTGGAGTGGGGGTGGGGCCTGGGGCAGAGCGGGGGTAGAGCTGCCAGCTCAGAGGGTTCAGTCAGATGGCTGAGGGGAACCCCACACACACAAGACCTTCAGCTGGGGTGGCAGGAAAGGCCTGTCACAGAGGCTCTTCGGTGATGGCCTTGCACACAAAACCCAGTATAGACCCTGCCTGCTTGACGGCAGTAGGTCAGGGAGGAGGAAGGCCGCAGCCC